GGGGTAGCCAGGCTCCAGGTTCGCTTCTCGGAAGAGCCAGTAGTGGTCACCTGCAGGAGGGGTAGGAGGCTGTGTGATGATGGGTCTGGAGCTGAGTGCCGTGTGCAGGAAGGGGATACAGCATGCTATTCTGGGTCCACAATCTATTGGCATCTACTACCCGCCCCCCTATGTACACAAAATCACACTCACACCCATGTGCACATGGCAGGCATTGATATCTGCACTCTCCCAACCACACATGATGCAATTCAACTGCATATTACACGCTCAGCTCCCGAGACATACTTGTTCCCACGAACACAAGTCACTTCCTCACACCTGTACACACCCCACACACCACGCGTGGGGGGCCTGCCTGGCCTCTGGGTCTGGGGGCTATGAACCTGAAGTCTCCCAGCAGCCCTCGCAACACGTGGCCTGGGCTTCCTGCTTCTAGTGTGGACCCAGCCTGTCCTGGCTCAGTCCAGTGGGAGACGTAGCCAATCCATTTTAGGGTAGGGGGGTGCCCTTGAGGCCTTTGTCTTTGCAGGCTGACCAGAGATTCTGCCCCAGAGTGTGCTGGGGGACTTGCTTTTATGAGATGAAGACAGAGGGAGACAAGGCTGAAGCACATCCCTGTGCTACAGAGGATGAGCTGGCATCACTCCACTCAGGGTCACTTCTGGCCTCCTGCTCCCCATCTTCCTCCCTCCCCCCACTCCTTGCCCAGCTCACCTTTGAAAAAGACAAAACGGCCATCCTGGCGCTCATAGGCAGCACTGATGTCCCCAGGCAGACCACGCCAGAAGTGCCCAATGGGCATGGGATAGTTGTCCAGGACGCGGTTGTGCCGGACACGCCAGAACCAGCGGCCCTGGGGAGGGTGTGGGCATGAGTGGGCAGCGTCTGCTCACTGCCTTGGTCGAGAGAGGCCCTGTCCTCAATCCACCCCTTCCCAGGTCCAGGAGCATCCACAGGGAGATCACTGACATACTGGGTGGGGGGAGTGGCTTGGAAAGCCAGGGCCACCCCTGGGAGGGCGCCCTGGGCTGGGGAGCTGGCACTGAACTTGCTGGGCCTGGTTTCTTCCTGGGGTCTGATGGCTCCCCAGGGCCCGCTCAGTGAGGGTGGGCAGGGGGAGCCCAAGCAGCCAGGCAGGCAAGGCTCTGGGGGAGGCCATTCCTGTGCCAGACCTTGAAAACGAACATCTCCCCGCGAAGCATGGCCACTGTGTCAAAGTTCCCATCGCAGATATTGGGGCCATACTGGTCGGGCCGTTCTGTGGCTCGGGGCTGGGCTGGAGGACCTGGCTTTGGGGGTCGTTCTGGCTTCCCGCCTGGGGGTGGTGGCTGGGGTGGCCGGGGGGGCCGGTGGTCTGGCCGTCCTGGTCGCCGGGGTGTCACAGTGGGGAGAGGCCGGGTGGGCTGTGGTTGACCATCTGGGGAGCCTACAGAGAGATGTGGGGAGCAAGAAGTAAGGGGGCATCCCTGATGCCACCAGAATACCCGGTTCTTCTCAGAACTCTGCACCCCCAGGTCCCCTAGCCTAAAGAGGCCTGGGCCCCACTGCAGGTCTACCACAGTGAAAGGTCCTGTCTGTCCAAGGCAGACCCAACCCCAACAACTGCCATCATCCTCAGGGGGACCTGGATCCTCTCTACACTGGGCTTGGGGGACTCCAGGTGGTCAGGGCCTGTCCTCTGTGCCCACACCAAGTTGCTGGGGAAGCAGTGAGGGGCATCTGTCAGGCGCCCAGCAAGGCAAGTGCTGCCAGCCCTAAGGAAGGGCTCCATGTGGGCACAGACCACAGGCTCTGACCCATTGAACAGGTCCCAGGAGACCTTACCACTAGAGGCTTTCTCAGTTGGGGCCTGAATGGGGATGGCAGCTGCTCAAACCACTTGGAAGTGACAAACCAGCAATGTTCAGGAGAGACCCATGACAGGCTCAGTCTAGGCAAGATGGTGGGAGAGGATGGTTTCTGGGGTCCCCAGGCACTCCTGGTTTGGGAAGAATAGTGCTGAGGCCAAGGGGGAAAGGAGTCATGATGAGCCCTGGAGCCATGTGTCCCCTCAAAGGTTCCAGGTTGGAGTCCCAGTAAGAAATGGGCCCTGAAGCCCACCAGCCCTGAATTTGATTTCCAATTCCAACTATTTACTCATCAGGTGATGTGGGCAAGTCACTAATGCTCACTGGGGGACACTTTCCTTATCTACAAAATGGGGATAATAGTAAAACCTGTGCCTTGCTGCCTGGGGCCTGAAAGCAGCCATGCAGGGCTCACTGGCCCAGCCCACTCACCATAGAGCTGCTGGATGCCCCGGAGGTCGTCCTCAGGAAGCTGGAAGTTGTCAGTGTCCATCCACTGGTAGAATGGTGCCATGATGGCACTGGGGTTGCTGGAGTGCTCCAGTCCCAGTGCATGGCCCAGCTCATGCACTGCCACCAGGAAGAGGCTATTCCCTTGGGGGGTGGGCAGCACAGTTAGTTCTCGCCTATCTCAGCTCTAGCCACCCTACCCCCTCCAGGCTAAGGCTGCCAGAGAGACTGCCTTTGCTTCACTCCTGGAAGAAGCTGAGCTGCTCAGACTTCTGACCTCCAACTTCCCCATCTGAGAAATGGGTACAATAGTCCCTTCCCACCTCCCTTGGAGATGGTGAGACAACACACTGACATCAGGTGATCTTGAACTACACATGGGAATTCACCCCTCCCAAACCAATAGCTGTAGAACTCTCTCAGAAGGACCTGTACTCCACTTTGCCTGCCTGGCCCCCACCCAGGCCAGCTGTCCTCACCATGCAGGTCGGTGCTGGAGAAGGTCCAGGGCTCATCTGCGTCAAAATGGGTGTCTCCGCCCAAGCCGGGGCCAGGGAAATAGGCGTGAGCCAAAAAGCCTCCCATGCCATCAAATGGTGAGCTGTCCCCGTGGAAGCCAGAGGCAAAGAGTACCATGATGTCGGCTTCCTTCTGCCGCCGCAGCCGGATGTCCTCATAGGGCACCTCCTGGAAGACCAGGGGTGTGGCCTGCTCCCATACGCGGAAGGCCCTGCGCACCGCCTCCATCGAGTGGTACCAGCCCAGCTTCTCTGTGTAGTTCTGAATGCTGCGGGCAGGCAGGGAGATGGATGAGTGGATGCAGGACCAGTGGCTGCTGTTCACTGTTAGCATGTTCCCAAGGAGCACGTGACTGCATGGGCATCTCCATCCATGTCAACTAGCAGTTTACTTGGATGTGAATTAATAATCTGAATTTGTCAAATCTAAGTATTCATTAAGATACCACTGAATAAGGTTGCATTGTACCAAATAAACTTATTTTAAGTAAGAAACACATTAAATAGGTTGGGCGTTGTGGCTCATGCCTGTATTCCCAGCACTTTATGGGGCTGAGGTGGGAGAATCACTTGAGCCCCAGAGTTAGAGCCTGTAGTGAGCTATGAATCTCATCAGTATACTCCAGCCTGGGCAACAGAGCAAGATCCTGCCTCTAACAACAAATGACAAAAGAAAGACATTAAGTAAATAAAAGTACAGGTGCCGTGTGGCTGGGGGAAAGACCTAGGGAACGGGATATAAATGGCTAAGGTTTGGGAAATAGGCCATGCAATTCTGAATGTTAAACTCCAAAGTCAGGCAGACTTGAGTTCAAGGCCTAAGCTCTGATGTCATCTATGTGATTTTGGGCAAGTAACTTTGTCTCTCTGATTTTCAGTTTTTTCATCTGTTAAATAAAAAATGGGGAGAGTAATTCCCTCACAGGCTTCGAGTGAGCATTAAATAACTCATGAAGAACACATAACAGAGGCTGCGCATGAGAGTGTGGTGAGCCTGCTGTTATCCACATGCACAGATGAAGCTTCTGTGTGTTGGACGGATTTCCATTTAGTGTGAAGGGAGAATATTGGCTGGACCATGAAATCACTCTGGAGGCCTGAGGTCAAGGAACCCTGAGAGCTGCTCTTCCTAGGGAGATGGAGTTCCAGGTAGGGCCATGGCTGGATTGGAACAGGAAGGGGAGCCCTAGGGGACCACCATATGGCTCAAGGCACACTTGGCTCAGGGGTTTTCTTGTTCAAGGACTTGGTAGAAAGGATGAGGGCCCCTGAATTAGGATTTTTATAGGCAACTTGCTGCTTGCTTGAATGATGAATTCTATGCTCCCCTCCCCTCCCCTGCATTTATACTGGTTCAGGGACCCCCTGGGCTTGTGAGGCCAGCCCTAGACTGCTGGTGTGTGGGAAGCGGGAAGGACAGAGTGGAAGTGGCTCAAGGGTCCTGACCTTCTCTGGATGAAGAGTGTGAGGCTCATCTCATGAGCATGGGAGCATGACGCACTGTCTAGGCCGGGCACCCTGGGGTGGGCTGCTGGGAAAGGAAGCCTGAGGCTAAGCCCCCAGAGAGAGGGAGGACGCCTTCCTAGGCAGCTGGGCCCCTACCTGAAGGTCAGATGGTGGTTGCTCCACTTCCTCCCAGTGAGGGCATAACGCTTCCGGCGCCGCAGATTGGCTTTCACGCGTACCCCGAACTGGTCTGGCACTCCACAGCGGGGCCGTTTCATCCACCTGGAACACAGGGTGAGGGGTGAGTGTGGAGCCTCCTCCAAGATGCCTGCCTGCTTTGGCTCCACCTCTTCCAGGCCCCTCCAGCCTCCCAGCTGCTCCTTCTGGTAAAACAGGCAAAATGATCCTGTACCAGAAGCCTGAGTGCCCAGCAGTGGCTCAATAAAGGTGAGCCCCTTCTTACCAGTGCTACCCAAGACTAGGAGAGTTGCTCTTGTGGCCTCCCATCCTTGCTATGTTACACTCTGTGCATCCTCCTGAAGGACACGGATTTAGGTTATGTCACCCTGATTAGATCAGGGCAAGGCGTAGGTAGGACATCCCTTCCAGGGCCTCTGTGCTGTACCTCTCATTCCCATGCCTGTGGCAGACATCACTAATCAATCACTATACTCCCTGTTGCTGAGCCCAGATCTGCCTCAGGAACTTTCTCTATGAAGGGATTTAGGCAGCCACTCCAATCAATCAGAATTGGCACAGATGACCTAACCTCTTGCCCGCTCTTATAATGGGCCACTCTTTTCTGGAAACTCTACATCTCAAACCCCGAGAACAGGCCAGAAGGAAGGCCAGGTGCCCATAGGGTCTGGTGCACTCACGCCTTGGTCTCTTCATCAAGCACACCGGTGACAGGGATCCCGTAGAAGCGCTGCATCTCTGCGAGGGCCGAGGCCAGGATCTGGGCAGAGCGCATGGTGGACATGTGGCGGCTGGGCTGGGGCAGGTAGCCATAGAGCCGCAGCCAGTTCTGCAAAGAAGCCACAACCCTGTCAGCAGGTGCTGGCACTGCTACCTACAAATAAGCGCAGCCTGTACCATCCACCTCTGCCACCATCACCCCATCTCAGCTGTCATCACCTCCTGCCAGGGTAAGCGTGTAAGCCTTGGAACCCACCTCCCTGCTTCTCCACCCTCTTACACAAGAGCCAGAACAAAAGGCCAAGTCAGGTCTGCTCAATTCTCTGCTGAGACCCCTCTCAAAGATGTCCCACTGCACCAAGAAAATCCATTTGTATAGGAGCTGCAAGGCCCTCACTACCTGACCCCACCTTAGCTCTCTGACCTCATTCCTACTCCACACCTGCCAACACACTCCTGCCTCAGGGCCTTTGCACTTGCTCTTCCTGCGGGCTAGAGTGCTCCCTAGCTAGATGGTGGCATGGTTTACCATCTCTGCTTCAACATTACCATTTGTGATGTTCCCTGATGTAATGTAAGAAAGGCCGCACTAGCTATACCCTGCAACCCTCCCTGCATTTCTCACCCTCTGACACACTATATATTTCACTCAGGTGTGTGTTTGTCTTCCCCTAGTAGGAGAGAAGCAGTGTCCACAGGGCTATTCCACAGGAGCCGTCCTGATTATTGTACTGGCCCCGCCAGGGTGGGCCCCTCTACTCCAAGTGGACTGCCAGTGACCCTAAAGGGTTCAAAACCTTCCGAGGCCTCATCAAGTAGGAAAACCACCCCATTGGCACTGGTCCCCACTCCCCCAACCCTAAACCTTCTGGAAAGAGAGCAGACAAATTCAGGTGGCCAAGCCAGGCCCAAAAGGGTAGGACAGAGGCCTGAATCCCTGTCCCTCCTCTGCTGCAATGCTCTGTCCTCTCTGGGCTCCAGTTTCCTTATCTGCAAGACGGGAAGGTGAAGTTTGAGGGCAAAGCATCTTGTATACCATGGGTATGCTCAGCCCTGTCTGGAGCTCACTTAGCATGTCTCATCCATCCACCCATCCACACACCCATCCAAACGTCCCTGAGCACCCTCTCTGTGCCAGCTGGGGGTTGGGAGAACTGGGGTGGGTGTTCTGATCTCCAGGCACTTGCAATCTCCCTGGGAGACCCAGTATACCCTGAGAGCAAGAAATTCACACCTCCAAGGTCACAGTCCAAGCCAGAGGGCAGAGACAAGCTGAATTTTGGCAAGAAAGGAGGCTCCACTTGCCTACCTCATGCCCTCAAGGCCCAAGAGCATGTGACCACCATAGGAGGTGGTGAGCAGAGGCAGGGGCTGCTCGGGGCTTGGTTACATGCAAGCATCCTTGCCCATCCTGGGCTGCTGCACACTAACGACCCATGAGGCAGAACAGCAGCTGGAAAAAGTGGCTGCTGCAGCCTCATGTTGGCTGGCTGGGGCCACGCCCGTGTATCTGCCTGTCGCCACTGTCACATCCAACTCCTCAGGCACTAGCTCCTTCAGTGCCATCGCCAGCCCAGGGCTCCTTCCCTCAGTTTCACCAGATACTGGTGATGTCGTGGGTACCCTGCCTGCTCTTCCCAAGTGCAGGAAGCCTTCCCTGAGGCTCCGGTGCTGGGTGGCAGCAGACCTACCACCCTTAACAGACACAGTTTTCCTGGAGATGCCTGGAGAGATCCAGAGGCGAGGCCATGAACCTCAGCTGGCTCTAACAGCAAAAAGAATTGCTGGAGGTAAGGGGAGTGGTGAGGGCTGGCTGCTGACAGATGAGGGCACCTCTACCTCACCTATTTGCATAAGGTAAAAATATCTCAGGAAGCGCAATCACAGGCCACTGAGGGGCTGATTAGCAGTATCTGCAAAGTGACAGGAGGGGAGGGCAGGAGAGGCTCGGTCTGGGGCCCTGGGGAGCAAAGGGAGGGAGGTGGCCTGTCTGCAGAGAAAAGCAGCAGAGCTCCAGAGACTGCAGGGGCACAGGGCAGAAGGCCCCTTCCACTCCGGGGCCAGCTCAGAGACTGTGGGAAGGGCCTACAGGCTCTAAGGACCCTCTGGCACACAGACGAACACCCTTTGAGTCCCACAGAAGCAAAGAGCTTCCATCTCACTATCAGTCAAGCCTCAAGCCCTCAGCCTCCTGGTGACAAGTGCCTCACAGCCACTGCCAGGGTAGAGAGTGAGGCTGAGGACATGGCACCCCTTGGGCAGTAGGTAGGATCAAGTAAACAGAAAGATGGCCTTGTCACAGACCAGCCAAGCCTCTAAATGACAAGGAGAAGCGACTGGGCCTCCTGACTCAGGCAAACACATGCTCAGGGTGGCTGAACGCCAAGTGCCAATAAATCTGTCTGGGCAGAAGCAACACCACTGGTAGGGCTGTGGACTCTTTCCCTTCCCCAGCATCCAAAAGGAGGATGGCAACACAGTGTTGCCTCCAGGTACAGAGGAGCAGCTCGCTCCGGTGCTCTGCTGCCATAGGGCAAAAGGGGGAATGAGTCCCAAGGTCACAACTTCCCAGTCCCAAAGCAGGGGGAGGGGCTGTGTTCAAGCCCCTGCTGCATCTATTGGTGACTGTATAAACTGGCCCTTAAGGTACTTCTCCTTGTCACCTAGAGTCTCACAGATGAGGAGAGCCAAGTGGGCAAAGCTTCCCTAAGGCTCAGGGAAATCAGTAAGTGGCAGAAGATTGAAAACAAGGCCTGGGTTTCCTCTTCCATGAAGGTCACTGTCCAAGGAGGGAGAAAGAGGGCTCTGGGGCCATGAAGACCCTTCTATCTGCAGCCTAGTATGGGGGGCTGCGGCAGAAGACCCCAGCCACTGTAGCTTTTAGCCATCTCTTTCTTGAGGTGCAGACCACATAAACTCAGCACCCGAGAATGTGGCATGGGCAAGGCTGTCTATTCACACCATTCCATTTAATGCTCACAACCACTTCTGAAAGGAAAATACAGGCCCACTCCCATTATACAGACAGCAAGGTTCAGAGTGTGTGAGTGGCCCACGCGGGGCTGCACAGCTGCTCTGGACCAGAGCTGGGGCCTGTAAACAGTGCTATTGGACCAAGCTGTTTCTGAAGAACCATAGCTTCTCTTGGCCTGAGGCTGGGGACACTGGGCTCTACAGCCCTTCTCAGGAGCAGTGCCCAGCACAGCACTGGGGGAGGGCACCTAATCCTCCCTACACCCAACATGTCTGGGCACTGGGCCACAGCAGCCCTCCCCAGGGACTGGCGAGGGGGTTAATCTGAGAAGGAGTCACCGGATCAATATTGTGCAGTGAGCAGCCGTGGGGGAGGGGGAAGGGTGAAGGCCTAATGCTGCCACTGCAACCACAGTACCTCCCAGGCTCAGATCTCTGGAGTCAACCAGCAGCCCCCTCCCACTGGGTCCTTATCAGACCTTAGGTGATAAGGACAATTTCTACAGGGCTCTGCTTTGCCTCTGTCACCCAGGTTGTCTCTTAGCAGACCTGGGCAAGGTTGCCCAGCCAGGCACAAAAGAAATCTTGTCAGGGCTACCCATGATGGCTCTGGCCCCCACACCTTTCATGGCCTTGTGAGGTCCTCACCACGCTTGTCTCCCCTACCCGACAGCCCCAGTATTGAGGGCTTTTGGAAGCAGGCCAAGGCTTTGTCTGGCTATGCACACCCAGCTATGCCAGGTACAGAGCTGGTGCTGAGTGGGATGATCTGGGGAGCCTTCCAAGAGGCAGGGCGTGAACTCCTGGCCACAGGCCCACCCTGTCCAGGGGATCTGAGCAAGAGCCCTCTCACCAGCTGGAAGACCCCAATGCCATCAAGCCCAGCTACCTCCCTAAAGCCCCCGAGGACTAGAGCTGAGCCAGGACTCATCCCTGCAAAGATGGGGTGCTCACAGTCACCCAAGGTAGCCCATCCGGTTTCAGGGCAGCAGTGACTATAAGAAAGCTTTTCCTCAGGCTACGTGCAAATCAGCCTCATAGGGGGATCTCTGCCTCTTGTCCTGACTATTTGTCCATATAACAGGCCTCCGAGGAACTGAAGATGGCTAAGACAACTTTTTTGAGCCTCAGTTTCCTTCTCCTGCAAAACAGAGCTAAGATTATCAATAAATAGCATGATGGCCCCATGGTCAGTGAAGAAAAGGGAGACTAAGCCAGGTCATCCAGTTCTTGACCGGCTGTTTACTACCTGTAGAGGCAGTATGGTCCATATTGCTGCTTGCTTTTGGGGGGCTTAAGTCTGCTTCCTATTTACGGGTCTTAAAGAAAGTTATAGGTTGGGGCCTGGACTCTGGGTGGTGAGGGAAGTCCAGCCAGCAAAGCAGGAAGGAGGCAGACATCCTGAGGTCAGGCCACTTCTTTACCAGGCATTCTCCCAACCCGCCCCCACACTCCTTAACCTGGAGGAAAAAACAAAGGAGTCCTTTGGCCAGTGGGCGGGCCAAAAGAGGCCTCTATCAGCCAGGAGTTTTGGGCTTGGCTGAGGGCCAGTCTTGGGGCCTCACCTGGACAACCCCCTGCAGGGTCAGAGCCCACATGGTTGGATAGGTGGGGCAAAAGCTGGGTGGGCCTGGGAGGACTCTCAGTCCACAACTCAGAGCAGTTCTGGCCCCACCTCTGAAACCTTCCTCCCACTTGGCTTAGGCCCGCAGACTCCTGCCTGGCAGAATTTCTATTAGATGGCACCCTGGGCTGTGGCCTTCAGACTTTAAATCCTGTGTGGGGGTTAGGAACTTGAGCTCCAAGCCAGAATGATCTAGGTTCAAATCCTAGTTCTGCCACTCCCTGGCTGTGGCATGTGGGGTAAATTCTCTCAACTCACAGTTTTACTGTCCTTTTCTGTACAATGGGGTAACAACACCTATATGTAAGAGTTAATATGAGCAGGTAAGTGTGAAAATGCTTACAAAATACACCTAGGCTGTACTCAGGATAGAACCAAATACACTGACGGTGCTCAAAACTAACACCTGAGCCTCTGGGCCCCACATGCTGGACACTGAGCAGTGTTCAGGGTTTTGCACATGAATGTGGTGAAATCTCCCCAGTAATTCCATCAAGTGGATACTACTATTCCCATTTTATAGGGATACTGTGGCTCAGACAGGTTCAATGACTTGCCTAATAGCAAATGCCCTTTGCTTTTTACTGTCATTGTGTTTTGCCACTATTTAGCAAGCATTTCCTACGTAACAGATGCCATGCTTATAAGACAAGGAGCTGGGCTCTCATCCCTACAGGGTGGCAGTCACTCCTGGTAGAAGGACAAGGCAGTGTCAGGGCTAAGGGGCAGCCCTGCCCCAGAGTGCTGACCTAGATCCTGGCTTCCATGATCTACCCTCTGATGGTAGTAGGATGTGGGGCATCTCTGAGAGCTGGCTCATGGCTGGTACCCAGGTTTTCATCCATCCATCCTGCTACTGGAGGCTGAGTCGGGTCTCCCCAAGCATTTCCTTCCATTCCCACGAGGGCAACAGGATCTGGGAAGAGGCATCCCTCTTTGTCTGTCTGATCCAAGCTCATTCACACGTTTCTGCTGTTCTTGCCTGAGTCTGCAAACTCTATACCTTCTCCAGAGGGCCCAGCTCCATGGCCACTGGTCTCCAGGCAGCTCTAGAACCAATGTTCTTCTGGAGAGCAGCCCCTCTGAAACAGGACCCTATTCAGGGGTTCATGTCTGGCCTGAGGGAGTGTTCAGCCACCTTCAGGGTCCCAGGTCCTCATATTTATCTGTGAGTTTCTCCCAGGACCCTCTTTGTAATGGAGAAGGATTCAAGCAGAGTCCCCAACCCCTCTCTACTTTTGTTGACTCAGAGAACACATCTCTGTACCCAAAGCAGAGCTGCCCAGAGGTTCTGCTCCTACCTGAGTGTCCAACTGGGGGAGTCACATAAGTCTTGGGAAAATATGGAGGATGACAACTTTGATCTGACCTGGGGAGCAGTGTTGCCCATAGTGACCATCACAGCTGCCCTCAGGTATAAGTCAAACTCCCAGCTGGGCAGAGGTGATGATGGCAGGGAACATCTGGATCAAGCAGAAAAGGAGCACAGAAGGGTAGCCAGAAGGCAGTGCTGGGCAGGGAGGGGCTTTTCCATGCCTGCAGCATTGCCATTCTGAGCTGGCATCAGAGACATGGGTAGTAGGTCCTGGGCTTTTGGAAAATGTCTTCTTTGGGGGTGATGGGGAGGGGAAGTAAAGACGCGTTTCCATGTTGTTTGTTTCTTCTCCAGGTTCAGGAATGTCTTTTACAAGTCTCCACCCTCCTCAGGGTGGGGCAAAGTAGATATTTGTGTCCAGGGGTCACAATGGGTAGGTTAAGACAATTTACTGCTCAGACAAGGAGCATACAGTAGGCTGTTCTTTGCAAGGAGGTGGCAGACTGGGTCCCCAGGGCTGCCCAGATAGATACAGACACATGACAAAGGGCTGGGTAAGAAGGGCACAGCCCAATTGAATCCTGGTTTCCTGGTTGTGCCAATCAGACCAATTCTCTCTAGGTCTTGAAACAGATTGGAGTGGTTTGTTAGTAGCAAGAGCATGGAGTAAAAAGCACAGAAGGAAGGTGGAGGACAGCTTTTCTAGGATACCAGGGACATTAACCCTTTTTCCTGGAGGGCGGGCACAGAGGGTCTCTGCCATTTTTGCTCTATTATTCATGAATGAGTATTAATAAGAGGGGAGCAGTGGGGGCCCTAGGGGCCAGCACGAAAGTGCTGAAAGAGACTGAAGCACAGGAAGCCTAGAATTGTGGTTCACTAGTCTGACCTAAAGGTCAAAAGAAGGATTTGAGCTGACCCCTCCTGCCTTGACTCGTCCTGTTCAGTCACCAGGTAGGGTAAAGGAAGATACTCCTGGGTTTACTTAGGGAAGGTGGTGTGTTAGTAGCACCATCCATACCTGTGAACTCTGGCAGCCTGAGTCACCACCATAGGTTGGGTGGAGGGCCTGAATTGCCCCTGGGGAGGATGGGCTACGGGCCAGGTTCATAAAGATAAGAGTTCCTCTGGTAAAACAAGAGGCACTGAGTTTTGCCAGGTGCTGTGGCCAGAAAGACCAGGCCAGAGACCTGAAGGGGGGCCTGGACACTTAGCTCTATAGGCTGGGAGCTACCAGAGCAGCACATCAGAGGGAGGAGGGACAGGGCAGAATTAGCTCAGTAGCCGCTTCCCCAAGGCTGTGGCCTGACTGGTTGCAGGTATCCTCCCTGATTCTTTAGCCTGGTGAAACTCCTGTGATTTCCCCCCTGGGAAGAAGAAGGGAGGGCAGAAGGGCTGGTCTTGGCTCAGCTGCCAAGCTGCTCAGAGATCTCAGCCATGACCTGACCAGAAGCTTGGTCTGGGGCAAGGATGAGAGCCCTTCTCAAGGGAGGCAGGTTCTGGATACGGTGTATAGGCCAGGTCAAACAGTCCCTGAGGTCACAGCTCCCTGGCTGATGGGACTCCAGGAGTAGCCTATATCCCAAAACCAACTCCAGGAGATGGTACAGTCCACCTATCTCTAGCCTTCTATCCACCATGGCTTCTGACATTTGAGGCTCCCTAAACCCAGAGTCTCTTTCAGCCAGTCTAGGCTCAACCCAAGTTTTCCCCCAGGAGTGGGGCTATAGGCCAGTCACAGAATCCCTAGCCAATGCCCCACATGCTTAGGGTCATGGTCTGTGGCTGGAGACACTAAGCTGTGGATGCTCCCTCAGTAGGTGGTGGGGGCTGGTAGAACTTCAGAAGTAAAGAGTGAATGAAACCCCTTAAATTACAGTTTTCAGCATCTTGGCACCTGGCCATCCCAACTCACAATGCACGGCCAGGCCACCAAATCCCAGCTTGGTCCAGAATTGCTCTTGTGTGGCAATGCCATTCTTAAGTAGATTGCAACTCCTCAAGGCTGGGTCTGTGACTTGAAATTCTTTGGTACTGTACTCCAGGTTGGTAGGTGAGCCCAAATAGTACTTTTTTCTCAGTACCTGGGTCACAAGCTAAAGGAGGGGCAATCCCCACCAGCAGAAGTCCCCTACAACTCCTGTGGGTTGCATGAATGGGGGGAGGGGGCAGACAGACTGAGGTGGGCTGGGCTCCGACTCAGCCTCCTGCTAGGCCAGGCTAGGGAGAGAAGGCAGAGCAGGTGTAACTTGAGCCTGAGAGGAATTCCCTGCCCTTCCTCCAAGCTTTTATTAAAGTAGGGCGCGGAAGGGCAGGCTTCCATCGGAAAAATCTCCCAGGCAGCCGCGGGAGGTGAGAAAGTCGCGGCGGACTGGGAGGGAGCATCGGCCGCTGCAAATAGAAACGGCGCTCAGGTCTGCAGTCCGGGGCGGCCCAAGGGCACCAAGGTTCTAGCCTACTCTACTCAGCCCAGCGCAGAGGCGGCTCCAAGGTGGTTCTCTCTCCCCACTCCCTTTCCAGTCTTCTCCTATCTGGGGCAGGGAGCAGAGTCTTAGAAGTGGAGAAAGAACAGATCCCACTTTGCCCTGGACCTGGCACCTTCATTGTCCTCCTGCAGGAGGACGATGCTAAGCAACCCTAAAGAGCCGGACTCAGCTCAGCGGCTGGAGGCCGCTCCTGGTCACCAGCGGGACCAATCCAAAGAGGGACCCTGGTGGGGACGTCAGACGGCCTCTCAGCGAAACCTAGCAGAGTCCACCTTTCTCCGACTCCGGGCTCCTTGTAAAAAGCCCTGGGGATGACAGGGTCTCTCTCCCTCGAGCCCCACCAGGGCGTGGTGAGGCATCCGCTTAAGAGCGCAAGAAAGTCGCCAAAGCGCCCCCGCAACCTTAGTCCGCTGCCTCAGCGGTTCGCACCCCTTCCCCCCCATCTCGGCCCGCGTGAGCGACTCCGTGTCACCAGAACCAAAGGCTGTACCTAGCAGGGAGCGCCGCCCAGCTCCTGCTTCGCCCCAGGTCGCCCCAGAGCAACCCCCTCCCCACTCGCAAAGAGCGCCACGGCGCGCCAGCCGGGCTCTCGAGGAATAAGCTGCCCGGAAGGGAAGAAAGGAGGGGAGGCAAAGCTGGGGGTGGCGACAGCGGCTCCCGGGACACAGGCTGAGGGGGTCAGTGCCCAGGGCAGGGCTGTAGAGGTAGAGAACGGGTCCGAGCCCTGTGCCCTCCAGGATTTGGAAAGAGGTGCGCCGCAGAACTGGAAGGAGCACCCTACTAGGTCGCCCTCTTTCCACCCCCCCCAACCCGTACAGGGGGCTCATCCCGGTTCCCTCCATCTCCACGCCCCAGGCTGCGAGAGTGGCTCCCCTTCCCCCAACCCACCATCCCGCAGCAAGGGGACAGGGCGGGGGTCCTTACCTCCGCATGGACTTCTGCATCTTCGGCCGCTACGCCCCAGCCGAGACAGCCCAGAAGCACCAGCAGAAGCGGCAGCAGTCGCTGCTGCGCCGCAGCCTCCCGGCCGCCAAGGAGTCTACCCGTCCAGCCCGGCCGTCCGGGCGCGCTCAGGTCGCTGCCCATGCTCTCCGCGCACAGCCCGGCTGGAAGCGCTGCACGCCGGGCTCGCTCGCTCGCTCGCTCGCGGGCGCGGGGTTCTCGCACGCGCCTCGGAAACTTGCGACGCTCCCTGGCTCCTGGCCCGGCAGGCGCGCCGCGGACCGCTGGCTCCGGGTCTCCGCCGGAGAGGCTTAGATTCCCCTCGGCAAATTCCCAAGCAAGAGGAGAAGCGAGCAGGGGAGGTCCACGAGCGCGGATCCTGCCGGCGGGAGAGGGGGCCAGTTGGAACTACCCACCGCGGGGTCCAGCAGGCTCGGCTCCCTGCGCTCGGGGCCCGGCCCCCGAGAGCAAGAGCAACTCCTGAGCCTTTGTCTGGCTCAGCGCTCCGGCCGCCCGGTCCCGCGGC